CTGAATCACTGAAACGCAAACACTAAAATATAGTCATCGTAGTAACAAAATTTTTCACTATAATTGATCTGCAAACTGATGCACATAAACACATGAATAAACAATAAAAACATGAGAAATCAAGGCAGCAATATGCTTCCAAAGACTCTCTACTCCAACGTGGGAAAAAATCCGTAGTGCATCAACAGGGAGAAAATCAAGTCACATCTCTGAATGATTTAAAAGACTATAAAAAATAGATCAATAATGTGCTCAGCAAATTACAAACTATCATTATTTATAAATGACATGATAGTCTACATACATTTATAGATGACATGATAGTCTATATACATTTATAGATGACATGATAGTCTACATACATTTAAAAGACTATAAAAAATAGATCAATAATGTGCTCAGCAAAAATCAAAGCCAATGCACCTAAAAAGAGAAAATATTTAATATTCACAGAAGACACTAATAAGAAACTATTTTCATGAAACAAAATGATACAAAATATAAAGGAACAGTTTAGCAAAACATTTGAGTATATAAAGTGAACCAAAAGAAATCCAGATTTAAAATTCTATTGAAAGTATGGTCAGGAGAGATGAGCTCTCTGAAAACAGAGTGGGAGAACAACAAGATAGGCTAAGGTCAGTGACTATGTATGTACTTGGAAATACATTAAGAAAAAAACAGAATATGAAAAATTGATCCAATAGCTGTTAGGTGATATAAAAAAGACTAACCTAATATTATTGGAATTAGTGAAAAATTAGAAGACAATTTAAATGGCATAAAACAAGTTTATACAAATCATAGTAGCAAATTTTCTGAATATGGGGGAATAATTTAGTATACAGATCAGTTAGGTATGTAGAAGCACCCCTCAAAAAAAAAAAAAAAAAAAAAGAAAGAAACTGTCAATGACACCTCATAGTCAAAATGTCAGAAAGTCCAGCACATGGACAGAACCATAAAAAAGTGAAAGAAAAGTAATAAATCACTTATAAAGACAAACCCATTCAAATGTTTTCCCACTCTGTGGGTTGAATATTCACTCTGTTGGTAGTTTCTTCTACTGTACAAAAGATTTTTAATAATATGAGATCCCAGTTGTTGATTCTTTGTAGAACCTCCCTTGCAATTGGGGTTCTGTTCATGAAATCTTTGTTTTCACTATGTATTCAAGAGTTCTACCTATTCTCTTGTCTAGCAGATTTAGTGTTTCTGTTTTAATAATTAGATCTTTGATTCATTTTGACTTTAATGCATGGTGACAGATTTGCGTCTAGTTTTAGTCTTTGGCATATGTAAAGTCAATTTTTCCAGCACTGTTTATTAAAGAGGCTTTCTTACAGTGAATGTGTTTGGCTCCTTTGTCAAAGATAAGGTGGCTGAGTGTGCTTGGAGTTGTTTTAGTATCTTATAATCTGTTGTATTGATCCTCAAGTCTGTTTTTGCTTTTTGCTTTTGTTTTTACCACTACCATGATGGTTTTTGTTTGTTTGTTTGTTTGTTTGTTTTGTCTTTTTCCTTTTCATTGGTACCAGGGATAGAACTCATGACTGCCTGCTTGCAGGGCAGGCGCTTATGCCACTGAGCTAAATCCCCAGCCCCTTACCATGATGTTTTTAATCATAGCAGCTTTGTAGTATAATTTGAAATGATTGTAATGTCTTAATGTCTCCTAGCTTGCTTGTGTTACCCTGAAACTTATTTGCTGTTCTAGGACTCTTCTCATTCCTAATTAATTTTAGGAATGTTTTCAACAGTTTTGTGAGGATGCTAATGGTATTTTGATTGAGATTGCAATAAATTTGTGTAACTATTTTGGGGGTATGACCATTTTCACTATGTTGGTTCTTCCTACCCAATTGGTTCTTCCATTTTCTGATACCTTTTTCAGTTTCTTTTTTCAGAGCACTGAAGTTTTCATTGTAAAGGTATTTTATTTCCATCATTAGATTGATTAAGTTATTAATCAATCTAATATTAAAATTTCTGGATGCTACTGTGAACGATGTTACTTTCCTAACTGCTCTCTCAGTGAGTTTGTTATTTGTGTACAGGAAGGCTATTGATCTTTTAGCATTGACTTTATGTCCAGTGAAACAATTGAATTGAATCATTAAATCTAAAAGTCTTTTGGTGGAGTTTTTAGGGTATTCTATGTAGACTATCATGTCATCTATAAATAATGATAGTTTAACTTCTTCCTTTCCTATCCTTATTCTTTTTCTTTTCCTTGTCTAATTACTCTGGCTAATGTTTCCAGAACTATGTTAAATATGAGTGGTGGTAGTAGACAGGCTTTCCCTGTTCCTGATTTTAGAGTGAAACTGTTCTGTTTCTGATCATTTATTATGATGTTGACTGTTGGTTTGCCATAGATGGCTTTTGTTAGATTGAGATAAAGACCATCTGTCTCAATTTTTTGTATGGTTTTGATCATGAATGAGTGTTGAACATTGTAAAATGCTTACTCAGTGCCTAAGACATGATAATGTGATGTCTACGGATCTGTTGTTACAGTGTATTACATTTATTGATTTGCATAAGTTGAACCATCCTTGCATCCATGGGATGTATCCATCCAGCTGCATTCTATTTGCCAGTGTCTTATTAAGGATTTTTGCATTTACGTACATTAGGGATACTGGCCTGTAGTTCTTTTTTTGGTTGAGTCTTTCTCTGCTTTTGGTGTCAAGGTAATACTTGCTTTCAGGAATGACTTTGGGAGGCTTGTTTTCCTTTCAATGTCATTAAAGAATTTGAGAAGTACTGGCATTAAATCTTCTCAAAATTTCCTGTACAATATATCAGTGAATTCATCAGCATCTAGGCATTTCTTGGTTGGTAACTTTTTAATTACATTTTCAATTTCATTAACTGATGTTGGGTTAATCACAATTTTATATCATGTTGATTCAACTTTGGTAATTCATACCTACGTAGGTAGGAATCTGTCCACTTTTTCTGGTTTCCATCCTATGAAAGCAAAAATTTTCAAAGAAGGTATTGATGACCTTCTGGATTTCCAAAGGGTCTGTAGTGATTTCACTCTTTTCATTCCTCAGTGCACAAATTCAGGCCTTTTCTTTCCACTTTTTGATAAGATTGGCTAAGCAATTGTTATGGTTTGATAACTAGTGGTCAACTTAATGCCAGCTGGATTACATCAGCATGTATTGAGAGAAGATACTCTATCTGAGAAGGATTGTCAGGATAAATAGGTGGAGAAGAAGAGAGGTGTGGAGAGGGATTGAGGCATTATGGAGGCATTGTTGGTTCTCCTACGAGTTGTTGTCTGAGCTGTTGATTCTCCTGGAGAAGCTTTGGTCTTCATATCGAGCATTGCTTCCTGGCTCCAGAGGGGAAGACATGTGCTCCTGGTCTCCAGAATGAACCTGTCACGCTGCATCCTGGCACATACCCGACTGTGCTTGTCGGAGGAGGAGCTTGGGGCCTCCGTGTTGCTGAGGACAGCTGTGGTGCCTTTCAGGACAGCCCCGCTCTTTCTTTTGAGTGTGACTTCTTGGCTCCAGTGTAGAACCTTCATCCCAGTAGCACAGCTCCTTCATCCTGCTGGCATAGACTTTCTGGCTTCCACCGCTGACCCTTGGGTCTTCCCAGCACGGATCTGTAAGAGACTCGTGTGAGTCCTTCTTGTGGGCTCTGGACTTCCAGTTGGACTGGTGGAGGTGTTGTCCTGAGCTCTGGGTTTTTATCTGGACTCATGTGGGACATTGCCGTGGGGTTTAGACTCTTGACTAAATAATCTATGTCATTGGTGTTGCGGATAGAGTTCCTGCATTCTCCTGTGTTAACTTCTGGTGACCATTATAAAACTATTATAAACTCCATGTCCTGATCTGAATTGTTCTCTATGTACAACCCCAGACTACAACAGCAATTCAATTTTATTTACTCATTTAAAGAACCAACTCTTTGATTATTGATTATTTTATTATTTTCTTAGACTTGATTGCATTCATTTCTGCTCTTATAATTATAATTTCCTTCTTTATATTTTCTTTGGGTTTGATTTGTTATTCTTTTTCTAAAAGTTTGATGATCATAATTGGGTTATTTGAGTTTGTTCTGTTTTCCTGGTGTGTGAATTCATCACTACAAATTTCCCTGTTAGGACTGCTTTCATTGCACCCTATAAAGCCTGGTATGTTTCATCAGCATTGCCATTTAATTATAAACACTTTAATTTCAGATTAAACCACAGATGGCTTCATCTGTGACCCATTGTTTCTTTTCAGGAAGTTGTTATTTAATTTCCAGGTGTCCATGTAATTTTTTGGTTTATTTTGTTGTTGATTTCCAGTTTCATCACACTATGATCAGACAAAATGCACAGGATTCTTTCAGTTCCTTTGTATTTACTTACACATGTTCTAAGGCCTAGTATGTGTTATATCTTTCAGAAAGGCCCATGTGTAACTGAAAAGAATGTTTATGCTGATGTAACTATAACACTCTGTAGACATCTAGTAAGTCCATTTCTTAAAGGTGTGATTTAGTTCTGGTATTTTTTGTTGAATTTTTGTCTAGTTGAACTGTCTATTTGTGCCAGTGGGGTTTTAAGCTCTACCAATGAAACCATAATATTAAATTAATCAAATATTTCAATCTCTTATGTGAGAAACTCAAAATATAAATAAATTAAAGAGGAGAATAAAAGATAGATAATAGTAAACCGGAAGATAGACTTTTGGAAAAGAGAAGGGGACCAAGAGAAAGAGAAAGGGGAGGTCAAGGGGTTGAAAAAAGAATTATGTGTTATGTCCTTGTACAACTTTCCCCTGCAGAGTGTTATGCTATGTACTCCAAACATATACTAATAACATAAAGCAAGCAAAGTGAGGAATAAAAGTAAAGAATTATATTTTGTGTATTCTTTAAGATGTTTAAAATGAGATATTTATGAGACTTCTATACATGCAAACACTGTTTGCTAAGTACTCAGAAAAAAATTCAAATGGAAAAAATATATCCATTACCTTTCCAAATGATCCTTGACCAAGAACCTTCAGCAACTCCAACTGTGCAGGGTTCTGCTTTCTCATATCCCTCCTTAACATGATGCGTAGCAGGGATTTCTTTGAAAATACCTTCATCCTGTAAAAAATAAATCCAAATAATATGCAAATATAGCTTCAGTATCATAATTTCCAACTCCCTCAATCTAGTACAGAATATATTTTAGGATAACAATATCCCCATCTCTTTTTCTTTCCAATTCAACATTTAGAAACACCACCACCATATTATTTCATGTCAAGGAAAACATGTAAAATCATATCTATATTTCATCCTTCTAATGAGATACCAATAAAATGAAAGTACTAACAATTGTGTCAAATTCCTCACTCATGTTTGATTTAGGAGGCAGAGACAGAGATAGAGTTAGAGAAAGACAATCAAAAATGTGAACTTTAAGAGCTCTTTTAAACAGCATATCACTATATACTTTTTAATATTTAGATGTCCAATTACTTATAACAATGCAAAGAAACTAGCATAGATGAAAAAAAAAACTTTTCAGAGCCCAAACAAGTTTTTAAGTCATGTCCCTAATTTTACTGATAATTTAAATGTAAATCATATGCAAGATTTCCTACCATCTTGGTGATACAAAAAAGAAAGTAAAATAGGAACTGTATTTGTCTCTTAGTATAATGCTCTACCCAATAGTGATGACTAGTTGTGATTCTATTCACTAGAGATAGCATAGTAGCAATAACATTTGGAAGAGATATTTAATCCAGTCCTCTCCCTACATATAGAAGAAAACTCACAGTTTCAGTTTACATGAATAAAAAAAATGTTTATATGATTAGTTAATCACAACTTCTATAAGTTTTAGTAGCTTCCATTATACTATATTAATTTTTGTTGAAAAGACAGATTTAAATTGATTAAGATTCACTCTTATTGATTTATTCTTCAATTATCTGATTAATCAGTGATGCTTGTGGCTAAACTGGACAAGACTATGGTATAAAATTATAAAATTAGACCTCATGGCAGCTAAATTAATTTCCATATCATAGAGGTATTCAGCCAGTCATTTTCTCAAGAGAAGTACTTGAATAGAAATGAATAATAATCAACTTCGAAAATATATCATTGGGTGTATCTTATATATCAAAATAGTATTCCACCAAACCCTTTTAAATACTCAATGATTTATAAATATGTTTTTAAACAAAAATTTATTATAAATGACCTTCCCTACTTACAAGGGGCCAAATGTATTCTTTTTCTTTTTTGTGTGCTGGAAACTAAACTAGTGCTTTGGAAATACTTTACCATTGTGCACTAAAGTCATGTACTTTTCAAAATGCAAATATAAATCAGTCACTGTGGCCCTATGGCTGCAATCCCTACATATGAGTAGGTACAGAAGGAGGATAAATTGAGCTGCAGACTTCATGAATTACAAGATAGTGAACCACCAAAAATGTATAAATATACACATTATAGATGAAATGTTTGGATTCTACTAAGATATGATATATATGTAGGTATTATTGGAATATATGTATCCCAAGAAAAATAATGTATTGAGTACTCTAATTGATATTATGGCCATCTGAGTTTTCAGCTATAGTATATTAGTGGTCGCAGAGCACGGAAAGAACATTAGAAAAAGGATTAACAGACTATAGTTTTTGTTTCTAGATCTGCCATGCATAATGTTAGCATAGTGTTGACCAAACTGTAAAACATGATCTACTTCTTTTTTCTCACATGCTTAAGGGGATTTGTTAGATGGGCTTTTAAGGTCTCCTATATATCATGGCCTATATTGAAAACAATACAATATACTGTAAGGTTAAAATGGCAATTCACATCCCAGGCATGTTTACAATCATTATTATAAGCATGAATGACACTGACATCAGTTTTTTCAAGTGTTCAGAATTAGGAAACAACTTTAAGAGAACCAAAGCACATTTTCCAAATGAAAATGTTTGTCGAAGGACCCTACTCCATTTTATTAAAGTCCACATATGCCCTTCCTTTAGAATGTAATATGTCTTTCAGTTTTCAGCAGCAGTAACATAAAGAGCTCCTAACAAGAAAATCTACTAAATGCAAAAGAAAACTTTTCCCAGTAGACAGCCACAATACAATAATATTATATTATATTATATTATATTATATTATATTATATTATATCCACTTGTCTTTCTTTTCCACTGGACTATGAGCTTCCTCATTGCAGGCATTACCACTGTTGTGATTTGTAATTACACATCCTTCCAAAGGATCACATAGTCATAGGTGGGGCTTTTTCAGAGGTGGCAAGATCTATAGTGTGTGATCCTGGGGTTGATTCAGTTTGTAAAGCTAGAATCAAGGGTCCAGGATTAAGAGTGTGAGTGCTACACTCCATAAGTATACTGGATAAGACATAAGGAATAGAAAGAGATGTGGTCATCCCTTGTTTCGTTGCTACCTTCTGCTCACCATAAACTTTTCTCTTCTATGATGCCTGTCTACCATGCCACCCTGTCTTGAAGGCAGCTGATCATAAACTGAAACTACTACAAACTGAGCAGAATAAACCTTTCCTACTTTAACTTTGGGTGTCAGGTACTTTGTCTCAATAACAAGGGAAAAGTAACTAAAAAAAACACATTCATTTATGTATTACTAAAGAGTACAATATTCATTTGATTGGATAGGAGCAGAAAGGCAAAGTAATTCTCACAATTTTGTAAAAAGAAAAGGAAGAAAAATATACTTTTAAAAAGACAGCCCTTAAAAATACATGCATAAAGGTAACTATAAGAGATAATGGATATAGTAATTTACTTGAGTATAGTAATCACTTCACCATTTATATCAAGTCATCATGTTGTGAAGTTTTATAAACAAAAAAATTAAAGGTAAATTTAACCAATAAGAAAAATCAAAATTATTTTAAATACATTTTTCAAACAATAAAATATATTTTTGAATTGTTTTGGGGAACAAAATATCACCTGTATTAAGTAATAGTTGGTATTTGGAAAATCTATACATGCTCAACTATAACCAAACAAGCATACTCTAATTTCTATGACCAATGACCATTTGTTTAAATCCTAGTAGTCAGTAATTCTATAGTCCTGGTAAAATATTGATTAATTACCAAGTAACTTTCAAATACCCTACTGTTACATTCCTTTGACAGTCTATTTAGAGGAAACAAATGATCTGTAAATCAGAACAAGAAAGGAATGAAAGCAACCTATTAGCAATATACTTAAGTATGGAATTTTCATAAACCTGCATTACTAACCTCCAGAAAACAAGTGACATCAAAAGAAGATTTTTAAAGGCTACATTTATTGGGTTTTATGTAATAACGCAAAATTCATCTTTTCGAAGCCATTTTGTTTGAGTGCAGATAGGTCATTTTGGTAAAACAGATAACCTTCAATTTGTAAGTATTGTGTTATGAATCTGTTAAAACACATGTGAAAACTCTGAAAAGCAGCTTGTTAGAGCCTTCTCATGCCAAGAACATTCTAAGGTTACTAAAAACCAAATAAAAGCATACTTCCAAAGGAAGCTAACCATAGTAATAACAAAAATGTCAAAATATCACCAAATTGTATTAAATACATCAAAATAATTTACAGATTGGAAAATAATTTCAAAATATTTGGTTCTGAAATATTGTATCCATGAGTAGAAACCTGAAATGTGCCACGCTAATTCTTAGTTTGTTGGTTTATTCTACTTATAAGGATCAGCTTGTTTCCTTACCAATAAAATATTAATAATATAGACTCCATTTATCTCAGATCACAGTTCCAAGAGGAACAACACTACAAATAATAAAACTTTGGCATTAATGAAACAGTATATTATTTATCTTTGTATAGTTAATTATACTCCCAGGTTTATACTCCTTTATATATCCATCTTACAGCTACATGCCAAAACATTTAGTTGAGCAAACTTATCTGAAAGTTTGCATGATTGTACTATAAGCATGTCAAATTTTAAAAACAGGAAAATGACTAGAAATCAGAAAAAATGTATGAGTATTGCAAGGGAAGAAAAATAGTGAAGGATACCTAAGTTATAATGTCCACCAAAATGAAAAGTTAAAAGGAAAAAAAAAGTTTACCAAACAGAAAATGAGAAGAGAGATAATTAGGAAATAAAAATTCAAATGCTTTCCCAAATTATAAATTCCATTATTTTAAAGATAATTTAATGTACACACTAATTGGTTTCATTTATACTACTAGTGTATCTTTGCTCATTGAGAAGAAAGATTTGTATTGTTATGCATGTTTCTATTTGGTAACAATCTTTATGGTTTACGTTTTCTACTCTGATTAATTACTTTGATGAAAATGATACACAGCTTAATAACTTGTTATCTTTTGTTTGATTATGAAATTTGATTTTATTTTCATAAGATAAAAAATTCATCTTGCAGAAAGAACAAATCTCAGCTTGAAATGTTTCCTACTTAATTTTCCATATGAGTTTAATTGTGTAAAATGTACTTTTGAAATACTTTTTAAAAGAATTCTTAAGAGAGACATATACGGAAATTTTTTTCAAAATTAGAAATGTAGAGCTTTATAGGGACTCTGTTTTGTTTTATTTTAAATGTATCATTCAGTTCAATGTAACATTTACATTTCTGGGAAATAAAAGTCTCACTCAATTTATAGATTAAATATTTCACTAACTTTATACTATTATACTCTAAACAGTATCTAATTGTTAAGTGAATCTTCTTTAAAATTTAGAAGACATTGTAGCAATAAAAATATGTACTTTATCTTACAGAAAAGTAAGTAAACCATCAAATTAATATAAATGAATCACACACTACCAATTTTAAGATGGAAATTCTCATTTTGACAATATATAAGAAATTAACTCATGTCAGCCATGTACCAAAGAAGATGACACATATTTTTTTAACCTTGACCTTGTTAGAAACAAGGGACTTGGTTGTTTTTATATTAGGTATCTTTTGTCAGTGATCTGTTACTTAATACTTACCAAATAGGAAATTTTCTTGAAAAATGGAAAACAGCTTAAGATCAGCATAGACATATTAAAGTTGCACATATATTCCAACTTTACTGATCATATGCTAGATATTTTTGGAGTCTGGCAAGAATTTTATTTAATTTTGCTTGTTTTACCTAAAGAAAAGAGATCAAATGACCATGCAAATTTAAAGTAATAATAGTTGAAATGAAATAGATCAGTTGTCCAAATAAGTCAATAAACATAAAATACTATCAGGGCACACACATATTTTATGTTTTATATTTGTACATGCACCATACATAATTTTTTGGCCTGAGGATTAAACTCAGGTCCTCAGGAATGCAAACACATGTCCTATCACTGAATTATACCTCCAAATTGAAAGTTTATATATAAAAAACACTGGTTAAGGAGCATTCCTTATAATCCTACACTATTTTAAAACAATAAACACCAAGAAAACCGCATGGCTGTCAGCATCATACTGCAATCAACAACCATATTCTAGAAACCCTATGCATGAAAAAACTAATATAGTGTCACTGATACGAATTAAATAGCCTGACCATCACAAAAAAGCACATGGTGTCAAGTAGAGACCATGAATCAAATCTCTAAAAATGATTCTAATTCCTTATTCTCTAAAATTTGATACTGTCTTTTACTTGCTGAAATTGATTGTACATGGTAAACAATATTAACATCTAGTACTGTACATTTAGCCTTTTCACTAATTTTTATTTTCTATTAAAATTAAATATCTGACAATCACTCTACATTCACAACTTATATAAACACACATGTACATGTGCATTAGCAGACACGTTTTTTTCTTTCTTCTGTGGCATGGGGAACAGAAGACAAACAATAATAACAAATAATTTTAATGTACTAATGCAAAATTAGGCCATATTCCCTTCTCTCTTTTATAGTTCATATAATCCTTTCATGAACTAATGACAGAAGTACTACTATGCTTCTTGATCTACAAGATCTACAGTTAAATCTCTATAAATGGTTTTCACAGAAGTTTATATTTGATTATACATAGAGTTTAAATGTTATTAATAGTAAATAGAACATGTAAGCAAAAATGAAATACTTCTCTTTTTGTGAACCTACATTGTTGCAGCACAGTAAATATATGCAAAGATAATCACATAAAATATTGAAAAGGAAAATCTTGGACAAATCCAACTTAAATGCCCTTGGTTGGCTCTATGTGATTTAAATACAGTTATGAATAAGGTTATAAGAAAAAAAACGACTGATTTTATCCACAACTAAAGAAGAAAAAAATGGTACTTGCACTCTCTCCTTACTTTCCATTTCTCTAGGTTTATACAAAATATATATGGCTAACCTAACAGGAGGTACATTGTAACATAAATCTTGATCCGACCACTTGCTAGTTTTATCATCTAGTATAAATCACAAATCTCTCCCAATCTTAGTAGAACATTCAATACAAATAAAAGCATTGCACAGTTGATGCTCATTTCATATTAAAAAGAGTAGGATATAATCCTATAAAGTAATTACAGAAATCAGAACCATAAAATTAAAGCATTAATGAAGTTGCCTACATTACTCAAACTATAACTAAAATGTTTAAGAATAGCCTTTCATAAAAGTAGATATTGCAAAATGAGATTTTAGTATATAGGCCTTTCATAGAATGATCTAAGAGCTTAGAAGTCTTTAAAAGTAAGTAAAAATTTCTCAGTAACTTAGTTTTAATCTTTTCTGAAAAATACATTTTAAATTATTTTATGCTATACTTATAGTTCAATATATCCATGTTAGATTTCATTGTACTTCAAAGTTTAAGATAATTTTACTTATATTAATTGAAAGGATTCTGTGTTTATAAAATCCCACTGCTCTTATACTGGTGAGCACAATTTTAATCCATTATACTTATAATGGGTTAATCTTAGGAATGTGAATATGATTTCAATAAGGCTGTTTATTGAAAATTTTCATACACAAAAATTTCTGACAGGAAAATATGTCTTATGCTTTCAATTGCAGGTGATTTGTTAATAATTGTATTTACTAATTAGCAACTTAACTGAATAAGTTACTTTAACTAGTAGAAACTTTTCACTTTCTCATTAGTATCTTTTCTAATATGATAAAAATGATGCTTTATAAGTTAACTTGGGTACTTACAAGCCAGGAATCTGCTTGACCCTCGTCCATTGGTTCATCAACCATTTTAAGAACATTTACCTGAAAAAAAGAGTTCAAAAGTTGAAGTTCAGGAGTATTAAGACATGAGTAATAAATAACAAAAATATCCTCAGGCATTTCCTTTTACAATCTAACTAGGTCAAAATTACTGAAAAACAAGAGACATACAAAAAATACTTAGAAAATGAAAACTAATAATACAGTTCTCAGACTGTCAGTGAATATTCATGACTTTTTCAAAACTTTATCTCTCTTTTTATGTTGCTCAATTTAAATTTCATGAGATAATACATAAAACAATAAATTACTGGAGATACCCATTTGCTCAAGGAAACAAAATCATTTAAACATACAAAGCACCAAGACATTTATACTTTATCTCCAATCAACAGTTAAAGAAAAAGTAATATTAAGGATATAGATTTAGGTTCTCCAAATTATAACCCATGGATCAAATCTGGCCTGCCATCTCTCTGGACACAAAATATTACTGGATATGCTCATTATTATCTTTGGTTTCTTTCACACTATAATAGCTGAATTGAGCAACCATGACAGAGATTCTCTGTCTGCAAAGCTTAAAATACTTATTTTTGGTTACTTACACAAAAAGTCTTCAAATCAATGATCTAAGTCATTTAAGAAGCATATAGTAGCAAAGTGGTCTTTACAAAAAAGAATTTTATCATAGACCATATATAAGAATCCATAGTGGGAAAGCATATAAATTAACTAAAGCTATTGATAAAACCCAGAGTAAGGAATAAGTCTACTAGGTCTAACACTTATTTATAAACTAAAAATGATAGGTAGGTTCAAAATGAAACTACCTACAGATTCTATAAACTAAACAGTACCTAATAGAGGTGAGCACGCCATTTGAAAAAAATGCTGACAAGTTTCCTAAATTTATTTCCTACCTGTATACCCTAAATTTGACCTGAGGAAAGACTGAAAACTCTATAGTATGCATAAACAAAATTTCCCAGTGAAATCTGACACTATGGACATCGAATCAGAAAAAGATAAAATTTTGAGGTGATATACGTAGGAGAACTAGGTTTTCTAAGTTTGAACTTTCTCTTTTGTTGACTCTCAGCATTACTTAACACAATAAACAAATCAAGACAAAATCTACCTGTCTGATCAGAAGAAGGACAAAAATAAGACTCTCATGATTAAAAAAATAAATAAATAAAAAGGTGTGGAGATAATAACAGTTACATTTTTTCACCTTAAATTTTATTTCAAGGCAGCCCCAGTAGTACACAACTATGTGAAAGCAAGAAAGAATAAGTCTTTGAGAGGTGAGACACTTCTCCCTCAAAAAATAACAAAACAAAAACAGAAAAAAGTCCCATTGGAAATAGGTAATTTGAAGGAAACCACAGGACACATGTGAGAAAGAGACCTTCTAATTCCTAGTATGAAGTGATACAAGTTTTCATCTCAACAGCAAATGAATATATATGGAATTTAACTAAAAAATACAACAAAGACTTTGAGATATCAAATATAGTTTCCACCACCGCTCAAGTCAGACTATCTACTTTAATAACAAGTGTACAAAGCAGAAAATACTTTGAAAACTGAATAAATGATACACCAGTTATACAAACAGGAAGATAACTTGGGAGCCTTAATCAAACAAGACAGACTACTTACTAAGAGAAATAAAAAAATTCAATGGCATCAATACCAAGATTACTCAAATAATTCAACTGAATGTCAAGAACTTTGAAACAGCTACCATAACTATGTTTTTTGAATAAAAATAAACACACATAAATAGAATAAAACACTTTCAAAAACTAAATGGAGACTATAAAGCAAATCAATTAAATCTAGAACTAAAAATTATAATAAATAAAGTTTTCAAAAGTGCTGTATAGGCTCAGTAAAAGAATACACATTGGAGAAGAAGTAGTAAACTTCACAACAGAACAATAAAAATCATCTACCATGGGGGCTGGGGATTTAGCTCAGCGGCATAAGCACCTGCCTTGCAAGCAGGCAGTCGTGAGTTCGATGCCCGGTACCAATAAAAAGGAAAAAGACATAAATAAATAAATAAATAAATAAAATTTTAAAAAAACACTATTAAAAAATCATCTACCATGAAAAGAGTGAAAACAATTGAAAACAAACTATTATAAAATCCAGGAATCTGATATACAGTCATAAAAGAGGTGATCAAAATATCTGGTAAATATTGTCTTTATGTTTGATGCTACAGTATATGAAGTTATACTCAAATATCTCAAGGAAAGAGACACTAAAGTAACTACTGTTGTGTTGGGTTATCTTGTGGTGAAACACTATGTTTCTTAAATTGTTCTGTTCTGACCTGTACTGTTGTGTTATGTCCTCTTTTATCTCAATCTCTTTTTATTATTATTTATTTTTTATTTTTTAATTAAGGGAAAATCTAATTTAAAAATAGCAGGATATATTATAGTAACCCACTTTGATTTCCTATTAAATTTATTTGAAACCCTGTATTGCTCTCATCAAATTGTTTTGACTGATTTTATTCTACTCTGTTTTGCTTGATAGTATCAAGTTGGAGAGTATAGGCAACTACTTTGAAGACAATAAGATTCACTATGATGCCCATTCTGGTTTGACTATTACCTTCTTTTGAAGTCCTGTATTGTCTCCAATGTTTAGGTTTTATTGGTTTTGTTTTGTACTGTTTTGTTCAATTTTATTATAACTGATCATATAGGCAATTCTTTTTAAGATAGCAAGAGGCATTATGGCAACCATTGTTGATCACCTTGTATTCTGTTTTTACATCATGTACTATGTCCATCCTTTTGATTTGACTGACTCTGTTTTGTTATGTCACATTTGGTTTTATTCTCTTCAGAAAAAAAGTAGTAAGAACTGTGGGAGTAATAAAACTCAATATGCGTAAATTTTGTTGTAAAAAAGAGAGGAAAAAAGTGTTCTAAATGATACAACTGCGAGTGTGTTTAGGTGTGTTAGTATATATGACTATATTACTGAGTTTTTGTTGCATCATTGAACAGAACTGTTTGCAGACTCACTGTTTGGATGTACACTTTATATGCTTTAATTTTGTAACTTGAACAACTATTTCTAAGATGACAATATGTAATCTATTAACTAGTGATTTCCTATTTTTTTTGAAATTCTGTATTACTTATACCCGTTTTCTGTTTCTTTTTTCTTTTTCTCCTTAAATGAAATTTGTAAAAATCTGGTAAATACTTGTATTTTTAAATTTCTTACATTCAGTAACATGGTTGAACCTCAAATACATTAATATAAATTAAAGAAGCTAGATTATTTAAGATTACATAATGGTTTGTTCCACTTACAAACATTCGGAAATAGGCAAAAGTAGAAAGCTTAAGAAAAGACTAGTGGGTCCTTCTTCCTGGTAAGCAACCTATGGCACAAATGAGCAGTGGACATGCCAGGAAGAAAACAAGTCAGCCATGTTGGAACTTGGGGGGGATAGAGCAAGAAAGCTAAGAGCCCTCCTTCCTGGTAAGCAAATGGCAGCGTGAGAGAGCAGTGGGTAGCCAGGCAGATTACAAGTCAGCATCTCCCATGAGCTGCTGAGTGCACGGGCTGAGAACCAAACGCCCCACCCTCCAAAGGATTAGCAACTGAATGGTGTGGAAGACAGCCAGAGTTGATAGCAACTAAGGCACATAAAGCAACTAAATGCTTGTATGTTGGGTTGATTGTGCTGACCTGGGGACAGAGGACAGAGCATCTCTTGGGAGGTTGACAGTATGCAATATATCAAATATGGGGGATTTTTTTCTAGGAAAATCCAGGAAAATATTGTTTTCACTGTTTTTGCTTTGTTCTGATTAATTGTTTTGCTGTATTCAATATTCTCTTTTGATACATTTTATCATGTTCTGTTTTTTGTTTGACTTGGCTATACCTGATTAAACGCCTAACTATTGTGAAGAAAACAAGATACACTATGATAACACTGTTATCCAGGTATCCTGCTCTGAAATTCTGTACCAATTTCACTGCATTGTCTCAATTGGCTTTGTTATGTCTTGTTTTGTTGTATTTTACTATCTTCAAAATAAAAAAGAAGAGATTAGTGGTTGACTGGGACTATTGTACCCTATCGGAATTGTTGGGAGGGCTAAGGAAACAATTACATTTTTTCTAAATTGTAGTAGTTTTACACAACACTATTCATTTGTCTAGACTCAGAACCATACATGAAGAAGAACAAATTTTATTTTATGGGATTTTTAAACCAATTTTATAAAAATAGAAAATTATCCAATATTTTCAAATCAATGAATATCTGTCTTCTAAAAAATAGCAATGAAGCCAAATAGATATCAATGGTGTTTAGTTTGCTAAAACAATCAAATTGATCTGTCTGCAGCACATCTCATGTGACCACTCTCCTACTTGAATATTTGATTCTGTGATATTGCACTCATTTTATTTTATTACAATTTATCTCACTATTCTTTTTCCACATTCATAAAATACTAACTCCTCAGAAAAAGCATTAGAATCACCTTCTAATCTCACTCCATATTCTTTCCACAGAAACTAATTTACTAATGCAACTCGTATTTACTCAGAGTTTACATTTCTAAGCTCCTGATCCATATATACAACTGCCTAAATGACATTTCCAATTGTTTAATTTCACATGTGTCTCAAAAATAACAAATTCAAAACAGAGTTAGTGGCACTTTTCAAATCTGCTCTTCCTCCAGAGTTACTCATTTCAATAAATTACACTAGTATCTTATCATGTTACCTCAAAAGAAAAAAGTAAGACTGTATAGATTAAGAAACACTATGACTAATCCATCATTAACACACAACATCTAGCCAACAGTCCAGAAAACACGAAAAAATCCTGTCTTGTAAATAAAATTGAATGTAAAATAAAATTTTACATTACTTGCAGGATTATTCGTAGAAAAAAGGTTATATAAAGAAAACTATTCTCCATAGAAAAAGAAAATTTTGCTTTCCTCTATAACCTAGTGACTTATTATAACCTATTTATT